TTTGGATTTTTTAGGTTCCGTATGATATGAAAGACAGCGAGTATTCGGTTGTTTAATAAAGAAAGTGGTGCATTCAAAAGTTTGGTTGAGCAAAACCAGCTACAGCGGCACAAGATGTGACGGATACCAAGAAGCTCGGGAAGCAATTCTCAAAGCACAACAAATGAGAACAGTGTAAGGTTATAAAAATAATGTTTCAGAGTACCCAAGGCAGTCCCTTAGATGGTAACCCCACCCTGAACACAATGATCACTCGCATCACACTTATTATAGTGATGTAGACTAGCCCACCCACTCGGTCCAAAGAAAAACGGATCTCCAGGCTCTACCCTTCAGTGCCAACCACTTCCAGTGGCAAGCTAGTCGAGTCATTCACTTTCCACACAGATGGACTTACCCTGGTGGTGTTACTGAGTGACAATCAGGGGTAAGTGGTCCTGTAGCGTAAATGGTTCGAAAGATTCAATTCTGACTTTTGATACTCCTACCCGGTTCGGCGAAATATGCTGTCCCCATTTTTGTTCAGCTTCGTCACTGATGAACTGAAGAGGCAAACGCCAGACCATCTAAAACCCCAGAGGTCGATTCAGTAATGGTAAGCTGAAGTGTGCGGAAGACAAATCTAATCTTTGATACCAAAAACAATAATAATAATAAAGTAATTGTTCAGCTGTAACACCCTCCCGGTGCCTAGCTGCCATGCCACCCGAAGGAAGCACGAGGGCTAGGATACTGGCCAGGTTGCCAGGCCTAGACAGAGGAAGTCGAAATATAGAGGTCGGGTTCGAACCACGGACATTCCGGTCAGTAAATTCGCGCTCTTAGCACTTGAGCCATCTCGCCCACGTTTGATGCCAAGTACAAAGCACAAGCGCTGCTCAAGAAGCTGACCATCGTAATACAACCCTCCGGCATGTGCCTCGCACCTGGAGTACCTAGTAGCACTTCAGAACATGCGGGCGAGATGGCCCAAGTAGTTAGAATGCGAATTTACTGACCGGAAGGTCCGTGGTTCGAATCCGACCTCCGCCACTCGACTTCCCCTGTCTAGGCTTGGGCAACCTGGCAGTATCCCAGCCCTCGTGCTTCCTTCGGGTGGCTTCAGAACACGCTGTGTCCAAACATGCCCTTTGCCATCCAAAGGGAAGTACTGGAGCCAAATTAGAGGCTTTATTGCTGTACGGTTGAGACATGGACTCTGCGCCTTCAGGCCCTTGACCAAAAGCGCTACTAGTATCGGATAGCGTCGACGAATTCGTAACATATAGGTTGGAAGACGTGATTTAGGTTGTGCAGCAGGTACACCGACCACGGAGAACTGCTGTGGCACGAACTCCGAATCGTCATCTACTGAAATGAGTGCTGTTCTCCGTGCCTCCATCTGGAGTAGTGAAAACTGAGGTGGGCAACGTGTGGCTTGACAAAGTTTTGGAATAGATGGCGAAGTGTTTGGGAGGTGTTGGTGTGATCCATATCCCAGGTTGTGGGGTCCAATGATCATCCCTGTGCCTTTGTGGACGCTGCAAGAAATGGCGTGTAGCCGACGTCAGCGACTTTCGTGCTGTAAGCTTCTCTGTAAACTGTCTAACTGTATCATCATCATCATTATCGACAGCATGACATCAGTGTTCAACACCGATACTTCAATGCTGTACAACCATGAAATATCTGAGTTATTATGGAGAAAAGAATAAATATGGACTTAAAAGGGACTTAGTGATAGCTTGGTACAATCATCCCGACAGCACCCAAGCATTTCGTAATCTCCTTCATATCTCTCCGCCAGGTCAAGGGTTGGCCGCCCCTCTGAGTTGGACATGGAAGACAGCACCCTCTCTGGCAAAAGGTGGTTCGGCATACGCAGATTCAATGGACGACGACATAGCTGTTCTTGGATCTGAAGCCGTGGTAATGCAAGCAATATTAAGTAATCTAAATAATTCTGCATTACGTACCGTCTGTTTACGATGTTCTCCTGGGACGACTTCTCAATCAGTTCCATACATTTTTCAATTAAACATCACGGTTTTACACGCGCTTCACACCTGTAGTGTAAAGTGCTACAGCAAGACAGGGTGGGCTCGAGCCCTAACTTCATGTTTGTGGATGAACCGATTGCGGTAGTAGGCAGGTTTGTCTTCCTGGGCAGCTGTATCAGTTCCGGCGGTCTAGCGAAAGATGGCATTTCTATCCGGGTTGGGGAGGGGGGCAGAACAGTTTTTGTGAACTTGCATCAACTGTGGCGTATACGTGATATAACTTAATCCCTCAAGGGTCGAGTTTACAATGCTGCGGTGCGCTTCATATTATTGTGCGGATCAGAAACCTGCCGCTGTGCGCCGAGGAGTGCAAGATTTTCAGTGTTTGACCATCGATGCCTTCGGAGCATTGCAGTCCCTTGGAAACCCGGATCAGTAATCCTGAAGTATGTCTAATGGTTTTCGGAAATAACTGATCACACTGCATAGGTTGCGCTGGTTTGGCCACGCGCTCCGTATGCCAGTTGACAGACTTTCTCGAAGGGCTCATTTCGCACAACCACGCGAAGGGTGAAAACGAGTCAGGGATTCTTTTAGCACAACCAGGGTGGTCAATGACTTGGCAGCAAAGTATGAAAGCCAGTACCGGTGAACGCAGCTGCGCTGGTCATTGCCGTCTCCCTGGACGGAGACTCCGAGATGGGATACACCAATGGTCAGGGACATTGTCAGACATGGTCCAGTCGCGCCCTCAATGGCGCTCGCGCGTCCAAGCTATTGCCTTCAATGTCATCATCATCATCATCGGCAGCATGACATCAGTGTTCAACACCGATGCTTCACTGCCGTACAACCATGACTTATTTGAAAGCCCTATTGTGAAGAAAAGAGTAAAGGTGGACGGGGGAGGGACTTAGTTGCTACTTACCACAATCACTCCTTCAATGTATAACTCCCTTTCCAACCTCCTCAATTAAAAGCCCACTGACAACCCTGTTGTTTACGCATCAATTGTCAGCTATCACCTCTAATGCGCAGCTACCAACCCAACCTCCCCAAATCATTGGTGAACGAAACTGTGGCAGCTATAACCACTGTACGCGATTCTTACGGCTGATTATGATGACGATGAGAGCCATGTGTCAACATTGATGTTGCTGTCCCGACGAGGACTGGTGATGGAGAGACTCGAAGTTAATGATCAGTGTACGGATAATGATGAGGGACTATTTCGCTTGTGCTGAACATCGTGTTCCCGATCAGTACGAACCTTCAGCACAAGCGCTCACAAATACCCTGGAAGTCATCAGTACAATCAGTCATCGACTAAGTTGGATCATGCGGCTGTCAGCTACCAACAGAGCTTCAACATTTGACGTGGAGCCCTCTACGGCCACGGAGGTTTATGGCTGTATAGGTTCTCTCAAGCGCCACAGAGCTTATGGTCCAGATGACCTCCCAACGACACTGTGAAGTCCTCAGGCAGTGCCTGTTTAATCTGTTCGTTTGTATTTGAGAAAAGGAGAGAGACAACCGGGGGCGGTCAGTGATTGTATCCGTTGTGTGGCAACCCGTGGGAACCAACTTTACATTTGCCAGGTCGTGGACAAACCATCTACCTGCTTCTGCCACTGAATCGGGCACGAGAACCAGCACTCAGTTCGGCAAACGATGATTCGGTATGCGAAATACACTGAATCAACCACAACAGGTTATGGGTGTGGAGACACTGTCCGATCGAAGTCTCCGTCTCTCAAGTGAACACGATTTATAACCAATTCGTTACAAATCCCGCGACTCCAGCCCACCCGGGATGTGGTTCTGACGCCACGGTTGTCGAAGACCTGAAAACGTCTCGGTTCCACTACTCAGAGGCCAGGTCTCTGTTGACAACAAAACGTCATGTACTGTAGTCAAATACACACGTTCGTTGAGATGTAGGGAAATGCGGCTTTGTAGCACAAGTGTCTCAAATTAGAGGAAGCGACTCGAGCCTCACAGATTCATTAACTGACCTCATCTATCACAGTACAACCGGAACTAATGCGACTGACAAGATACACAGAACCCCTGCCTCTTCTTTGGTTGCGAGAGGCCGGTTGGGAAAGTTCAAGGGCACAACCTTAGGGGCGCAGAGCGCAAAACAAAGGAAGGAACAAGTTTGGCCAGTTCATCCAAAAACACCTGACTTTTTCCTCCCCGGCGGCGAGAGTCACGCCGTTCGGACTTTTTATGTCCACAAGGTTTTCGTCAGCGGCTATTTGAAGTCATTCCAGCATTCGGCCAATTATCTCGTTGGCCACGAAATTAGATAGAAATGGAGATCAGGCATCCTTGTCGGACATGAATGTGTATGGAAGCTTTTGGAGAGCCCATGTTATCATCTAACACGCCCGGAAGCCTGAGAATGTAATGGACCTATCACATTCACAAGCTTTCCAGGCACTCTTTGTTGAGCAAGCGTTTTAAGGAGAGTAGAGGGTCGATGACGAAATTTTTTATCGAAACTGCATTTAAGTACCAGTCAGTCAGCAGAAGCAACGATACAAGAGTCTGGCCGATCATCAGACTCTTCTGTCAAGTCTAAGATGCTGTCCCAACCCACCAAAAAGTGACACAAACAACCTCATTCCTTTCCCCCGTAACCCACTACATGGGCAACAAAAAAGGTCTCAGCCAAACCGACGAAAACAAAAGGTTTGGGAGACCACTGTGGGCCAAGCAGGTTCAAAGTGACCGGGCGCGAGTCTCATGCCTTAATAAAACCTCAAAACTTTCGGGAACTACAACCGCCCAGACTGTTGTACGCGAGAATGATACCGCTGTTCAAAGAACGAACGACTCCACAGGTCCGATTTGAGTGCTAAGACCTGAGTGTCCGTAAAAAAGGAATCCAAACAGAGCAGTAAGGGGGTCATAGACACTAAAAACCTTTTGCGCTGAACGAATTAAATTTATCGTTTACTGTAAAACAGAAACTACGCCGACGGAGCACGCATCCTGGCAAATCAATCTACTTACCGGAGTAAAAAAGGACGAAGGAGATATAATCCAGATTCAGGACACATAGAACGTGAAAAATATTGGACATAAATTTAACATCTTATGACGAATTTAACTTTCGGGCTGAAATTGGGAAAGTACAGACTTAAACAAAAATCAGGTCGGGGGATGGTGAGGTATAACGGGAGAGCGCGGGAAAAGTCAGATTCACAGAATGATTAGTACAGCTAATTATTGAGCCTACTTCTTTGATCGTGAAAACATGAAAGATATCTGTATTGCTATAAAGGAAGGAAATCGGTTTCTTTCTTACGACACAATAGGTTTTTAGCTTTCAATGCGTACCGGTCCGAGACTCGTGTTACCTAGACGATTTTTCAAATATTTTGGACAATAGCTCAATGTACGGTTGTTTGAAGTAAGAACTCCACTTCACTCTTTTTAAGTTAAAAATATGTAAGTCTCCAGACCTCCTTAATCTCCACGGGAACTACAAGCTCACGAACGAAACCATCCAAAATGTCGGGGAAATGGCTGTCCCATGACCGTAGAAAATGAGTTTCTTATTTCGACTGCATTTTAATTGTGCTGGCCTAAGCGGCGCGCAGATAGGAACACTCAGAAGCACGTTTTAACTCTCCGCGTGCATCTGTTGCTTCTGTTACACCCGGTGCGTTCCAAATTGTTTTCGCTTACCCCATGTGCAAATTAGTGAAAGTATTATTTCACTGTTCACTCTATCTACAGAGTGCAGACGTGTCATTCGTTTAATTTTCCCACTCTAGCATAACAGTTACGTGATAGTCTCTGTTATTTTGCACTTACTTTCTATTTTGCATCCAGTCTGAATCATGACACTAATAAATGCCGACTGTTCTCTGCAGCCATCGATGGAACGCAACAGATGTAGGCGAAGTGGCTGTCCATCGAACGTAAGACGCGGTCTGCAATCCCACACCTGCAAGACTCGGTGGCACTCTTAATGTACATGTTTACAGGACGACCAGGTAGGCCAACGTGCTAACTCTCCGGACCCGTTTGTCTGCACCAGCCGTCTCTCCATTAAAGGTGCAATGCATACAGCAACTAAGAAGACAACCAACAAAAAAGAATTCATATCACCACTGATGAATCAGAAAGACCAGTGCGTGTTTCTCTTCAGTCGAGATACTCGACGGGAAAATGGAGCTGGAGGATGCAAAGGCGAAGAACGCAGCATCCTGGACGAAAGTTGATAAAAAGATTTCTTTGGTAAACGAGTACCCCGCGCCGTCCATCCCGAGTTTGTTGGCTGCGTAGAAAGTCATCCAGCACTCTGACGCGGCCGACAGGGTCTTTTTAGTGGACGGGCGCGTAGGGGAGAGCATCCTGCTCATCTGCGAGTCGTTCTTCAGAAAAATTACGGCAACGAAGCTGCCACAGTCGCTCCTTGAAAGTATCCTCAAAAAGCCTGGTCACGAATCGCTTCACGCAGATTGGTTACGCCAGAAGGGAAGCGAGCGAACACTTTGGCTTCTAGTCTACCTGCCTACCCTTCGTCTGAAGGGTACAGAAGACGCTGGGGCGGGGTATCGGCTTTCAGAAGGCCTACCTAACGACCAGCCATAAGTCTGGGGATCGCCCTCTAGAGGCGCGAAAAAGGCTTGACGCCAGTCAAGCAGATCCCAAACTTATGTCCAAAACTATTGCAGTTATTGCCCCTTATACCCCTGGAAGCAGGCCGACTACCGAAGACAGCGACGCTCCGGGGGAGGCAGAACCCACGTGGAAGCAGCGGCAAAGTAGGTAGGGCTATCAGCGCTCCTTTCCGTAACAGCCGACAAAGGTGCATCAGTGGACTCCGCTACCAAGTCACAAAATCTGGGCTGGACTAGGTCAGACATGCGCAGACAAGCGGCGAAGCCTACCGACAAATCAACCACGTGTGTTGCCCCAGACATCGGGGAGTGCTGCGAGAACCGTACAATCACTAAGAATGTGAAACTGCCAATCTCAAGCCCCATTCCGTCTAAGGCAGCCTCTTTTTCTGTGGACAGACGCACAGCCTAGGATCCCACCAGCAAAAGCCACAAAGCCAATCACAGAGAACCAGAAAATCCCTCGTACCTATAGTTGGCCGCGCTGATCGTGGGCGACTCAAGGGCCTACAGAAACACGAAAGAAAAGCGGCTGCAGCCAAACAAGCCACATAAGGTTCACAAAATGACAAGCTGCTGACCAGCTTCAAGGTTCATTCCTCTGCGAAGACTAAAGGAAGAGATTTTCGGTGCCGCGCCGGTTTACAAGAGCCGGTTTAGTGCCTCTAAACAAGCAGTAACTCAGCACTAGCACTCATACAAATTATTTTACTACAGAGACTGCATTCCAGACTGATAGTGACGGCGACACCACCCGAAGATAAGGCAGGGAGCAACAAGCGTTCTCCATCCACTCGAAGATTTCGAAATTCAGGTCAGCCCACATTTCAAGGTGTCAGAATCAAAGACGACGGCGTGGTCACCGCTACATCCACAAAAGTAACTTCGTAGTAGCTGGCACTCTAGGGTTGGGTAAAAAGACGCGTCAAAAACCACCATACCCACATACACTTTGCAGACTTCAGAAGAAATGCGATTCCGTAAGAACCTGTGCGTGCCGGCTAACCTCCAATTTAGGAGCTTTCCTGTTTTGTAAGACTAGGAGGAAGTTGGAGAATCGCAAAAGAATCGACCTTTTAAAATTTTAAGGCGGGCCACATGCCACGCAAGCAATTGAGCTTACGTTGGATGACGCTACACATACCAACAGTGGCCAGATATCAACCAAACGTCCGTCGACCCCGCCACGGTCTTAATCCCATTACACGTAAATATATTTGATGGAGGCCGTTTAACTAAACTGTGGCTTCAAGATCATGGGCTTAACCTAACGTCCGCTTGGAAGTTGCTATACAAACATCAGTCGACGCCTTTTCAGTCGGCAAAGGTATGAATAACGCTCCAATAGGGCCAATCTGTGCGGTCTAGAAAATTCGGACCAACAGCTAATCATGCACATGATTAGGAAAGTCACAACCTTCTAGTTAGGGTAAGTCGAAGGCAGTCACTTTAGTATACGCTTTGAGAGCACTGCTTCTCGTGTATTGGTGGTCCATAACCTACTTTAATCTTCCGAATGACTCGGTTGTTTCCCGCTTTTCGTGCAAAACGATGTAGTAAAAAATCTGGGACAAGGCACGCGTGCGAAATGCCGAAATTCTTGGGACAGTTCACCTTACCTGGCGTGCACAATGGCCTCCTTTAACAAGAATTCCGGTTTCGGCAGTTCAGTTTAATAAACATTCAAGCACCGCAAAAGACGTAAGCACTTCCACCGGTTGCAATGGTGTGATCATCTAAAGCCGTCCCATTCCATAGATCATTTGCTATAAAAGACGCCTTCACTGAGTCTGTGGACAAAAACAAACGTCTTTTCACTTTGCTAGGTGGTGAGTTTTTTATTACGAATATCCGTACTCTGTCGGTGCCCTTTTTCGACCCGGCGTCATATCCGCCGAGCCGACACAAGTCTTTACAAGGTTCGTCTTTTGAGGGCGCTTGGGGCTGTGCTCAGCAGTGGGAAGAGATCGAGTGGAGTTGTCACAGGTAATATCATAGAAAAATGCCTGGCCCGTCTCTGCCTTTTGGTGAACAAGAAAAGTGTTATCTGGCCTCATCCAAACAGATCTGGCGCAGTGAAATTCGTATGGTACATCCCAATTTGCCGGCCACCTTATTTAGTGAGACGATAATGAGACCTTGTTCATCTACTTGCAGGCAGACGACTACTTCCAAGAACCCACTAAACAGGCATTTGGCTTCTTTTTATTCACATGTGTCACCGCGACTGTTTGATGCTACATGCCTCAATATTTTGCTGCCTAAATTGCAAACCCCTTTATGGGACCACCAGAGTTTATTACTAACTCGCCTGGAGGACCTTAGGCCTCATGGCTGACTGATGTACAGTCCGTCGCCAAAAGCACTGTGCACCTTCTGCATTCTTTTTGACGCCTCAGTAAATTTTCTTCCCAGGACAACCGACACGGAACCATAGTAACCGAACACAGACTAAATGCTGCTCATTCAAGTTCCACACACCAAAGACTCGTCCATGAGGCACTTCTGAATGTAAGGAGCACAAAAAGGAAGTCTGGTTACCTCCAGCTAACTCAGAGGGGGTAGCTTCTTTAGATATCCAGCGTGCGACAGGGACCAAGCGCTTATTCTGTCTAGATGATCCATATCAATTTGGGCTACAGGAACTTTGACTTATGTAGGATAAGGACTGACTTACGAAAACACGCTTCGGATAACATGGCTGTCAACGATTGTGTAAGCGTGAAAATTTAACCGATCGTTATTAAAGTAATTGATTTTTTGTATCGATCAACTGGATTTTTTAAATGCTAAAAAGCTCATCCTAAACCCTGATTTCTTCGGCTGAATTGTGCACATATCTAGTGGTTGAAGGACGGCTTGTGAATTCGACTGTAAAACAACCTTTGGTGATGCAGGCAGCGGTACTCGTATAGAACCCGCATTCATAAAATCAGGACGGAATCCTCCCACAAGACTTTCTTACAAACTCTCTAATGTCACGTTTTTGCAAACAGCTCGTTTTTGCGCGCCTTATTTAGCCATTCGCATGTCCCAATCACCTGAGTTTACTAATTGGACATATAAGTGATTTACGAGTCGCCAAAACTGAGTGCTTTGCAAAGCCTGTATATCCTACTTTTAATAACCGAAGTTGTTTTACCCATCCTTGTAGACTGATAAAGGTCAAACTGTCTTATTTGTTTAGTCTTAAATGTCGGTCAGTTAATCCATTTTTGAAAAAGTTTACTTTAGCGGTGTACATAAAAATGCTCTTGTTCATACACCTAGAGCCAACACAAGTTAAGAGAAACCTAGTCACATTGACCCTGCAAAAATTCACAGTGGCCTGACACCCAGTAGACTGAAACGGATCGTCTGTTAAAACAGACGAAGCTAAACTATATCTTTGCTTCTCGTGTGCGTTTTGCATCGGGTACTTTAGGAACAATTTAACCTATTCTCAAACACTTTTACTCAAAGTCAGAACTTCTTACGAC